CCCACCCCATCATTGTAAGAGAACCCCCCTGTACTCCCACCATAGATCTCACTGGCTTTGTGCTAACAAAAGCAAATTAAATCTCGCCCCTTCCTTTGGTGCCCTGGTATTGTGGCCCCTTCCTGTCACACTGTGTGCACAGGTGCATGGACCTCAGCTTAAACGTCACCTCCCCCATTCTGTGTTGGCTCCCCTCTATGTATTAGGCCCCCCAAGTGTGTTTAGCAGAGCACCTGTCTGATTCTTTCCTAGCATCATCCCAGTTTAAAATTTTAACCCCGATTCCTGCACTGGCGTAAGCTCGCTAAAGACAAAGTTTGTGCTGCTCTTTCTCTCTCTGGCCATAGGACGGGCTGGGCCAGCCCTGTCAAGCCTGCGGGTGGCATTGTGGCTCCTCCAGGCACAGAGAAGCCCTTCATCCCGTCAGTGGCGGAGTGGGGCTGGCTTTGCTCCCCATCCCCTTGTGGCCCTGCACAGATTCCCCAAGGGCCGCGTGGTCTGGGAGCAGTGCATTGTCCTCGGGTAGTAGACTGCCGGTTAAATGGGGTGCCTCTGTCACTGGGCATCAGGAGGAAGGACCCCTGCTCACGGAACTCTGACCTGCTTGTTGGAAAAGGAAATGGAGACTCTGACACAGTTCTCTGGGCCTGAATGTGTATGAGAGCCACTCCCTGACTCACAGGCAGCTTGGACTTTTAGGGGAGATTTTTAGGGGGAAATCCCTTCTGAGTACTCAGGCGCTTTCTTACCAGGAGGGGAGGGCGTGCCCCATGATAACCTCCTCCCAGGTCCCCATGTAGCTTTTCTGGGAGCCTCAGTGCTGCCGATGACCACATGGGAGGGAAGCTGGCTGCCAATGTCAATTGAGACTGCTCAGAGCTGGTCAGAGAGCGTCGTGTTGCCCGGGACCTGCACTGACAGTCCAGGTATGAAGTCTTAGGGCACACAAAGATGACAAGTACTATGATCCTAATGATTTTCCTGGTGATTACACACTGGACTGGTAGTGTTTTAGGTAAGTTGAGTTGAATAAAATATGTTGACAGATAATTCAGTAATGGCTGTTTTAGAGTTCAGGGAGTTTTATAAATGTGGATTGCGTTTCTCAGCCCTGAGGACTTTCATTTAAAGATGAGATCACCAAACTGGTCCTGAGGGTGTCAGCATTCCCTGGGTCACCCATTTACAAAGCGTTTTCTGGCATTTCAGTCTGTCTGTCTGGAATGCATCCACTTTATCCATCAAGGAAAATAAATAATAGGCAAGTTTTGTTCAGGAGAGATGACACTGGTAAGACTTTGGTGTGTTCCTTAACATGGGTACCCTGAAAACCTCCGTGCATCAAACCCTCGGGCCAGCAGGCCATGTGTGGAACTAGTTTCTGCAGATGTATGAGGTGTTATCCAGCTCTAGCCCCCACTACTTCTGCCTCACTTGCAGTTTCTTCAGTTTTAAATTTTAAATAAGTGTGGATTTTAAAACTGGGGAGGCCTGGGGATGTGGGAAAGCAGGAGTGATATTTTTCAGTGTCTCTGTCTCCTGCGAGAAAGTCATGTTGCATCTTCAAAACAACAGCTGTCAGAATTATTTCCATCGGATTAAATAAATCCTCAGAGCCGTGATCACAGTTTCTAAAATCTTGGAAATGTAGGTTATGCTTTGCATGGAACCCTAGTGGAATTTAAAATACTCATGTTTTTGCAAACATGGCTTTGCAAGCAGACGCTTTACCAGGGTTTCTTGTTTGTGAGTTTTGGTTTAAGCTACCATAGCTCAAGGAGTTGAGGAAGAGTTTTTCCTTATATATGTAAAAACAAACGTTTACCAATTTGAGATGCTATTAATTGTAGGTGGGAAAGGCAGTGAGCTCAGAGCCACACTGGATGGAACGTGCAGTGCAGCACATGCTTTGTCAGCATGACTGTGCAGTACAGGCGGCCGCCCTGCGTCCTCACCATCAAGTACAGCCTTTCAGTTTTAGGAAAGAGAAGACATTTGGTGGGATGGGAGGAGTTCGTGTCACAAAGACCTTGAATGAATGAATGCTCAGTACAGATTGATACTCATTATTTCTTGATACAGAGAAGCTTATTCTTAAAATTATCTGCTAAAACTAAACCATAGTGAGACACCTCTCATACATTAGCATGAATATTATTTAAAAAAAAAAAAAAAAAACAGACAATAACAAGTGTTGGTGAGGTGTGAGACACTGGAACAGTGTGTGTATTGCTGGTGCGATTCTGAAATGTTGGGACTGCCGTGGAAATCAGCACAGTGGCTCCTCTGGTTAAATCGGCCCAGCAGCTCCACTTCTGAGTGTCCGCACAGAAGAATTGGAAGCAGGGTCTCAGATACTGGTACACCCATGGCCACAGCATCATTTATAGTCCAAAGGGAGAAACAACTTAAGAATCCATCACAGGTGAATGGATAAACAAAATGTGGTCTATCCACAGAACGGAATACCACTCAGCCTTTAAAAAGCAAGGAAATTCTGTCCTGCTACATCATGGATGAGCCTCAAAGACATGAGGTTCAGTGAAATAGGCAGTCAAAGAGAAAGACTATGATTCCACTTACATGGGGTACTAGACTGTAGTTGAATTCTCAGGACAGAAAGTAGAGCAGCAGTTATACTAGGGCTTAAGGGAAGGGGGACTGGGGTCACTGCTTACTAAGTAGTTTCTGTGGAAGACGAAGTTCTGGAAATGGGTCATGGTGATGGTTGTATAACAATGTGAACACTTAATGGCACTGAACTGGACAATTAAAAATGGCTTAAAGGCAGATTTTTTTAATGTTCATTAGCTGCTGAGCTAGCTGGGGTTTGCAGCACACTTGCAGGGAGGGGAGAGCTTGCGCTCTGGAGGAAGGAGGTGTGGCAGCACAGGCTGCAGGCGACCCTCCAGCCCGGAGAAGGCTTAGCAAGAACAGCACAATCCTTCGACGTTGTTTAAAAAACAGCACAGAAATGGTGCCCTCTTGCAGCAAGAGCCTCTCCTCCAGGCTGCTGGATCCGCAGGACTATTTCCTTCCCTCCGAGTCCAACAGGCTCTTCTCTGATACACGGCCCTTTGATGAGTGGAATCCAAATGCCCTCAAAGCTCAGCAACTTCAGTGCTAACAAGTCACAGTGGGTGCCTCTGTAAGATCGGGCTCAGCCAGGGACATCACTGTGTGGCCCTTAGGTCTGCCCTCACTCTGACTCCCCTTAGGGACTGAGCTGGGACTGGCAGCAGGTGAGGGGTCTCCTTTAGCCCCCGAGTCCACAGTGTTCTACAATAGCTATTCAGCATCATGCTGCGGCTGCTCCTTGAGGGCTCGCTTGAGGGGAGACGTTTAGTGGGTGCCAGGAAGGTAAACACCATACCTGCCACTGCGCCTCAGAGGCAGAAATGAGGTGGCAGCTTCTGCCTGCATTTTCTGATGTCCAGGCTGGAGCAGGGTTACTGCGACCTCTGATCATAACCATCCACACACGCATTTCCCAAGGCATGCTCAGTCAAGACCTAGAACCCACCCTCATCGTGTTTAATGTGGGAGACGCCCGGGACCAGGATGGGAAGGATCACCTGAGGCTTACTGAGGCCAGGGAGGCCACTGGGTGGAAGTGAGGGGCCCAATGGTGGGGCGCCGTGTCTGGAGTCCCTATCTCCACGCACAGAGAGGTGGGCAGGTGCTGGGACAGACACTGTGGTGAGTGTTGCAGGCTGATATATAGAGATAGAGATGAGATATTTTGCATTGGGGGGAAGGGGTGTCCCTCAGACCAGCCTACACCCTTTCCAATCTGGGATCCCTGAGGGATGTCTGACTGCCCATTTAGGCCTGGTCCTAAAAGGGCAGTTGGACATCTCTCTCACAATCCAGGATGCTGGCTCCCAACTGCCCTCCCCTGCAGGCCTGGTCTCCCCCAACTGCCCTCTGCTGGCCTGGTCACCTCTAACTTTCCACAACTGCCTCCCCCCTGGCCATCTTGTAGTGGCTATCTTGTGTCCACATGGGGGAGGCCATTTTGTGTCTTGGTGTGATGGTCAATTTGCATATTACTCTTTTATTAGATAGGATATCTCCAAGCCTCCTCAGCCACCCTTTGGGGTAGAGGATCTGGTCTCGATCACGCATCTCTTCTGACTGGATTCATCTCTGTGGGTGACTTTCTCAACAGGCTCTTGCTGTGGGAGATGAGGGGGTGTGTCTGTTTCTGCCTTCGGAGGCTTGATGTAGGTTACAAAACCAACATAAACTGGCAGTGATGGAAGTAGTCACGTGCTCGCCACACCTCCAGATGGCCGGGCCTTACTGGAAGGTGATGCTGCATAATTATCAGAACAGAACCATCCCTCTTTCAGGCTCCTCCTAGATTCTAACATGTTTGGGCTTGTCTGATTCTCAGCTATGAACATGTATGACTTTGGCCCCGTGTCCATCCCTCAGTTTTGGTGACAGTGGGGAGCTCAGTAGGAGAGAAGATGTTAAAGTTGACAATAGCTTTGGAGGGGCCAGGAGCATGGGCTCTGGGTCTGCCCTTTAGCAGCTGCTGGAGCCACGGGCTCCACGAGGACTGTGGAAGGGGATCCTCAGCTCCCAGAATGGAGCTTCCTAGTTAATCTCCAGTTCATCCCATGTGACCCTGACTTACTGCTTCAGGGAGCCCCTGTGTCTGTAATCTGAAACTAAAACCACTGAGCTTGCCGTAGTTACAAATTGAGGATGAACCAAAGAACAAAAGGAAAGTGCTTTCCAGCAACTCCCCTGCTGTTCGCTAAGATCCGTTTTCCTCTGGGCTCTGCCTGCCCTCCCTCAGGAGGACTCCACGGGTGTCCTGAGCCCAGCGGCCAGGTGGTGGTGGTGATGCAATAACCTTCCTGCTTCTCCTCCCTCCTCGGCCAGGCTTACTCCCTCCCCTCAAACTGACCCCATCCACCTGTCGTCGCTGCTGCAGGCCCCCATTGTGAGTTTTCCGCTAAACTGTCTTTTCCCTTCTTGTCTTGCAGCCCGCCTAAACCCACCGTGTACATCTCCGGAGTCATCGCCCGGGTAAGAGCCTTCATCACATGGGCCTCAGTATGAGGACTTTCGGTCCCTGTCTTTGCTAGCCCCGTTCTTCCATGGGCCCAGTGGTGTTCTGTGGTCTCCTGCCCAGGAGCCCGCAGTGGGGAACTGGGGACAGTGCGGTGTGGGCACACAGTGGGGGTGAGAGCAGCTGCCTCTCCTCCTCCTCACCTGTCTCCCTTCCTTTTGAACTCGGTCAGGGACCGCAGCTACCCTGGGCCAAGTGCTTCTGGGAGACTGAGCTGAGAGTACTTTTACATTTTAAATGGTTGAAAAAGTCAAAGGAAGAAGTCTATATTATGTGAAAATTATATGCAATTCAGATTTCCGCGTCTGCGCGTGAAATTTGTGGCACGCGGCCGCACCTATCATATATGCAGCGTCTGCAACTGCTTTCACGCTGCAAAGGCCGACCAAAGAGTTGAAGCAGAGAGTATGGCCCGAAAAGCCTAAAATACCTACTACCTGACATATTACAGAAAATGCTTGCCAACCCCTGGTCTGAACACATGGGCTCTAGTCATACCCTTCACAAAGAGCGCCCTCTTGTGGTGAGCCCAGTGACCTGTCCCTCCAGCCCTCCCACCAGCTAACTCCCATTGTGAGGAGGCCAGGCTACCACCACCCACAGTTCTGTGGCTCACATTCAGCTGAGCACTTATGCTGTGTGAAGCAAATGTCACTGCTGGGGACAGCTCTCCACAGCTGTCCTGAGACACTGGGACAGATGACTGGCACGTCTACTATATGTGAGAAAATTAAATGCAGACACAAGTTCAAGGTCAACCATGGCCATTTGGTTAGCCAGAGCAGCCTGGCTGCAGCCTCACAGGCACTGTGGCGCCCAGTGATTCCTCCCTGGAGCCAGCGGTACCTTGTCTCTCACCCTACAGCCCTGCCCTTCAGTAGTCTTCCCGGCTCACAGCTGTGGTGGCACATCTGATTGGAAGGCCTGGGTTTGATTCTGTTCGGCCCCCAGTTCAGACCATTCAGGAGCAGCTCTAGCAGAAGAAAGACACCCAGACACATGTAGTTTCCTGTGAGTCGGATGGTGACCTGATCGCAGGTGTGTGGGCAGATACAGCCAGAGCTTCACCTTCTGGGTCATGTGTGGGCCTCAGTGCCCCTCCGCTCCCCAGGGAGCTTCAGAACCCCCACAGGCAAGGGGACAGGCTCCTGCCTGCCCACAGGCCCAGTCCATCACCTACATTGCAGGGGCACGTGGACTCGGGGTCGGAACCTTGCTCCTGCACGAACCCAGCTAGTCAGTGTTGATGATGCCATACCTTCCTTCTGTGTGTCTGACAGGGCGACAAGGACTTCCCCCCGGCGGCTGCCCAGGTGGCTCACCAGAAGCCCCACGCCTCCATGGACAAGCACCCGTCCCATAGGACCCAGCACATCCAGCAGCCGCGCAAGTGACCGCGAGGGCCCAGCGCCCTCCCCAGCTGTGCCTGGTTCCCCACATTTGGCATTTCCCCAGCAAAGAGAACGGCATTTTCTCCCCAACACCTTTCCAGTGGGAAATCTAAGGCAAAGCAGCGCACCCTTCCTTCGCCTTACATTTCCGAATCGAAGCTACAAATACACCCCAAACCTTGTTCCCAGGGAGTCCTGTTTGGTGAGGGGCCTGTGCCATTAGAGAACCTACTGAGCCCTGAGCAAAGTGAAGTTGCTCAGAGTTTAGCTTTAGAACTATTTCGCCATTGACTAAAAGTCCTGCCTGTGGTCTTAAAAACAAAGGGGCACAAATTGGGAGGGTTGGATTGAGATTGGGAGGAAAGCTCAATCGTTTTATGCTTCTGAGTTCTAGGACAATCAGATCTGCACACCTCCGGGAGCATAAGAAATGAGGGTGTCCCTTACGAGGGAGGGTTTCAGAAAGACAGATCAAGGATAAGGTGACCAGACGTCCCACTTTTGGTGGGACAGTCCCGATTTTTAATAATTTGTCCTGTGTCCCTCAGCATTTTTAAAAAGTCCCAATTTTCCCAAAAAGCACCGCAGGACATGGGACAAATTGTTAAAAATCGGGACATCTGGTCACCTTAATCAAGGAAGACTTAAAGCAGACCACAGCAACCCTGAATGTCACTCCCTGTGTGACCAGGGGTCCCTGTGCATGGCAACATCAGGATCCCAGGAGGACCAAAGGAAAGTGTGCATCTCTGAGATGGCTCTGTTATCCCAGGAGTCATCTTGCTGAAAAATTAGAGGGCGGGTAGTTTGCCCAAAGGTAGTACCTCTGGGAGGAGATCTCAGTGTGGGTCCCAAGTCCAGCACTGCCCTGCCATCAAGGCAGCCTGCGCCAGAGCAATCGAGACAAGCCCGTGTTTGTCATCACTCACCTCTAGAGCTGTCGGAGTTCTGGAAGTGGCCACCGGCCAGGCAGGCAGCCAGCCAGTCTGGACACACAGCAGGAGCACAGGCTGCGTGGGAGGAGAAGTGAACGCAGAGATAACAGGCCGAGCCTGCCCTCGTCTCCCTGGGAACAAGAGACACCACATTCCGTTAGGGCCAGGAAAGCCCAGATTCCTCTGCCTGTCACGCTCGCTGGGCCCACCTTCCCTTGGGCCCCTCAGATGGCCCCGCTTTCTGTGCGTTTCCTGCCCACAGCCGCCATGGGCTGCTCTCTGACCCAGGGGTGGAGTGCCTGCTTTTCTGAAAAGCCAAAGGCTCCTGCAGATCTTCCCAGGCAGAGGCTTGGGGAGGGCCCGGCCAGCCGCCCCACTCGCCAGCAGTGGCATTTGCTGCAGGCCAGCAGTGCGCTGGGAGCAGCGTGCCCGCCACCAGCCTCATGATGTCATTCTCAGTGCAGGGCTGCAATGGGCTGGCGTGACTCAGACCCAGGCAGACCCAGGCCCTCCCGTGGGAAAAGCCCTGCCTGGCTTTCTGAAGGCCATGTCGGTTTCCTCCCACTGGCTTGCGGGAGCTGGAGTCTAACCTTCAAGGTACCACGTGATCACATCTGGTATTTGAGAGATTGGTATACACCGAGGCTGGCTTTGGAGAGGCACACGCTGTGGGCAGCATGGTCGTGGGGCACACGGGGCAAGCAGCTCCCCACCCCCACCCCCAGAGTTGGCATCCCAGAAGGGCGCTGAGAGCAGGCAGTGCAGGTCAGGCCTGTGCAGACCCTTGCACCTTCCGCTGCAGAAATGCCGGCGCGGGGCTGCTGCCTGGGTTTGCAGGCAGGAGCGCTGAGCTGTTTCCGGAGGGGCTTGTTTACGGACTTGTATCTGCACCTGGCATGTATCTGTGAGCTCACTGAAAACACTGTTTCCTGAATGAGTACAATTGTTAACTTCCAGAATAATACTGATTATAATAAAGCCCCTGCATTTCTTCCCGTGGCTGTTTTTCTCTTACATTTCAGACATTTCTCTCTTCCTTTTTACTAGGGTTGCCAGATGGTTTCTATAGAAACACAAACCTGCATGCATGATGGGTATTTTCACAAACTGTTTCACAGACACAAAGTGGACTATTGGATGTGTGGCACTCGAGTCTAATCATCTACTTTAGAATGTCCTAAAATGGAAAAGTGTAAGGCAGTTGATTAAAACCCTGCTTGGACCTAGCAGCAGGCCCTGTGCTCTGGGCCTTTGGGAACAGACTTAGGGAGGAACAATTAGGAAGTCCGGGGTGGCTGTGAGCAGCTTTTGACAAGCAAGACATTTGCCTCTCTTCAAAGCTCTTCTGTAACCCATACGAGTGGGATGCAAAAATAATCACAACTGCCGAAACCGGTTTGGCCCAGTGAATAGAGCATTGGCCTGCAGACTGAAAGGTCTCAGGTTCGATTCCAGTCAAGGGCATGTACATTGGTTGCAGGCACATCTCCAGTAGGAGGTGTGCAGGAGGCAGCTGGTCAATGTCTCTCTCTCTCATCGATGTTTCTAGCTCTCTCTCTCTCTCCCTTCCTCTCTGTAAAAAATCAATAAGATATATATTTTAAATAAATAAATATAATCACAACTATTCAACCCTGAGGTCCAGAGTCAGACCACAGACTGGCACTGGGAGGTGCCTCATTGATCAGATGTGGATCTGGGGGGTGTCAGGATCTGGAATACTGACTCCCCTGTACATAACACACGCCCGAAGCAGGATACCGCTGCCCATCCTCAGTCCCAGTCCCTTCACAAGCTATGTGTGGACACACACACATGAGCCCATGTATGTGTTGGTGCAGAAACCACAGTGTGTCATGGAGAACCAGCTGTAGGGCAGGGATACGGGAGGGTCTAGGTGGGGAGGGGAGACATTGCCAAACCCAGCCAGGTTATTAATTATTTTGAGAACATCTGCTGCCTGCCCTGGTGGCCTGAGGTGCTCTTCTGCTGTTCCACAGCTTTTTCCAACTTGACAGCTGCTGTGCTGCTTAAATGCTTCTTACAAACCCAAAGTAAACCTTTTACCCCCAAGACCCGGCATCCTGCTGGCCTCTGCAGTATTGAAACAAAACAAAACAAAAGCAAGAAACAGTGCATTGCGTAGCCTTCCCAGGAGGCGTCCACAGCCATATGCTCCTGGAAAACAGGGTGAGTGGGTGGTGACGCTTAACCAAGAAATTGAACGCTTGGGATTTCTCCTCTAGTATTAGCCAGTGTTCTCCAGAGAAACCAAACTAGGCTGTGGATGGTAGGTAGGTAGATAAATAGATATTTGCTTTAAGGAATTGGCTCTGGTGATAATGGAAACTGGCAGATCCAAAATCTACAGGGTCAGCTAGCAGGCTGGAGACCCAGAGGAGAGCCAGTGTTGCAGTTCAAATCCAAAGGCATCTTACTTGGGAGCAGGGGCAGGGGAGGTCCGTCTCTGTTCTACTGATTTGATGAGGTGCACCCACATTATGGAGGACACTGCAGTTCACTCAGAGTCTGCTGATTTAAATATCTATGTCAACATTAAATATCTATGTCAACCCAAAGCATCCTCACAGAAACATCCTACCGAATAAGAGTAATATGCAAATTAACCATCACTCCACTACACCCACAAGCCATGCCTACCAGCCACACCCATCAGCCAATCAGAGCAAGTATGCAAATAAACTGAACCAAGGTGGCTATGGCCACAGAGAGCAGGAGGGAAGCTTGGGTTTCCCAGGCAATGGAGGAAGCCAAGCTTTCCACCTGCCTTTGCCAGCCTAAGCCTCCATTCAAGGCTATCAAGTTTCAATTATAGAAGGTAAACAAATCCAAAAGAAATGGTGGCAGCCACAAGCTGGAAAGAGCAGGAGGCTAGGGTTGCCCCCAGCAATGGAAGAAGCAAAGCTTTCCACACATCCTGGTCAGCCCAGGCCTCCACTTAAGGCTACAAAGTTTCAATTATAGAAGATACATAAGTCCCAACAAAAAATGGCTGCCGCCATGGAGCAAGCAGGAAGCTTGGCTCTGCTCCAGGCTACAAAGTTCCAATTGTAGAAGGAAAATAAATTCCAGATACCAGGACCTCCGCTTGGGTTACCAGGGGGCATGGCCAGCCTGCAAACCACCACAGGCCGCCCCATGTCCCAAGGGAACCCACACCCTGATCCGGGACACCCTTCAGGACAAATTAGCCGGTCCCCACCCATGCACCAAGCCTCTATCCTATCTACAGTAATAAAAGAGTAATATGCAGATTGACCATCACTCCAACACACAAGATGGCTGCCCCCATGTGGTCAAAAATACTGCCCCCATGTGGACACAAGGTGGCCACCACAAGATGGCCAGCAGGGGAGGACAGTTGGAGGATACAAGGCCTGCAAGGAAGAGCAGTTGAGGGCAATCAAGCCTGCAGGGGAGGCCAGTTAGGGGTGACCAGGCCGGCAGAGGAGGGAAGTTGAGGGCAAACAGGCTGGCCGGGGAGCAGTTAGACATCTATCAGGCTGGCATGGGAGTGGTTAGGGCAGGCGTCTTCAAACTACGGCCCGCAGGCCACATGCGGCCCGCAGAGGAGTCTGATCCGGCCCGCCAGGTTTTTTGGGCAGTGAGCGCAGCCAAGGTGTTACAGTAGGAATTAGTAGTTCATATAGTCCGGCCCTCCAGCTCTCTGAGGGACCGTGATCTGGCCCCCACTTTAAAAAGTTTGAGGACCCCTGGGTTAGGGGGTGATCAGGCTGGCAAGCAGAAGCAGCTAGGGGTAGTCAGGAAGGCAGGCGAGCACTTGGGAGCTAGCAGTCCTGGATTGTGAGAGGGACGTCCCCGATTGGAGAGGGTGCAGGCTGGGCTGAGTGACATGCCCCGCACCCACCCACCCCCTGTGCACGAATTTCATGCACTGGACCTCTAGTCCAAAATAATGTCTGACCAAATATCTGGGGCCTTGGCCAGCCAAGTTGGCACATGAACCACCATCACACAAGCTCATGCTGCTCATTTTTCTCGAGACCCTCCAAGCATCTGAGACCCGTTCTCACTTTGACCAGATTGAAGCATCCGCATGCCTCACAGCACGTTGTCTAACGTCCAACTTCCTCTTCCAAACAGACTTTCTAAAATTCAATTAGGGGCACTTATAACAAGAAAATAAAAATTTTCTCATCTTCCCCTTTAATCCTAAATATCACTAAAAATCCAACTGCCATGCTTTCAAAAAAGAAAAAAAAAAAAAATCCAATTTGTCGCCTGGAGAAGACCCCACACAATATGAAATAATGAACTGATGCAATCGGGGAAGCCTGAATGGGGCTTTGGATTGCATTTCAGCATTGTCACCTGAGAGGCAGAACCCAGCTTTCTG